AGCAATTGAACTATCATTTGTTATGTGAGTTATCTATGTGTTTGAACAGTTTTAAGCCCAGATCAGATTAATAACAACACCACATTCGATTGTTAAAGGTTGTGACTGAAATAACATCCCACGTAAAGGTTTTACTATACTTTTCTTTATATAAAGATAGTGTTAACTCATTTTAGACAATAAAGAAGAACAACACATTCCAAAAGTTGAGCCATCCTTATCTTTGGAGAAAAGTGTCAATTGAGTACATCAAGTTGTATGAGGTGGAGTAAAGAGTACACTATATTGCATTTGATCTTTTTAAGTACACAAATTGGGGATTTTAGTGTTAATTGAGTACACTTGTTAGATTAACACGTTAATATAGCTAAGTTGGCTAACATAATATTGAGTAAGAAAGAGTAATGGACCAATGTTATGGCGCCGACCTTCACGAAGTCAACCAAAAAGGGAAAATTAACCTTCGAAGGTTGACCTGCGTGGGGCGTCGGCAAGCAGGGGTGCATTGACCAAGGAGAAGTCGACCTGCGGGGGGCTGACGTCGACCAAGGGGAAGTCGATCAGTGGCAGGGGGCGGGCGTCGACCTTCAAGAAGTCAACCTATTAGCATTCCGTTAGCCAACTCAACCGTATTAACGTGTTAATCTAACAGACGTACTCAATTAACATTATAACCCCAAATTTGTGTACTTAAAAAGATCAAATGCAATATAGCGTACTGATTACTCCACCTCATACAACTTGATGTACTCAATTGACCCTTACCTCTATCTTTGTTTGGTGTAAGGTCTGAGTATATCTAACCTTCTTAGGTCTTTTTTCTAAGTTTTGTGAGTGGGGCTTAATTGGTTTGTTTGGATTTTTTCCTATCGTATTAAAAAAATACCTTAAATCTCATATGGCCGCACTAGGGACAAAAATCAATTGTCTACAATCATTTAGCAATATAAATTCATGCAACAAATCCCAGCGTGGAATTATTATCCCCAACCCATGTCTTTCAAACGGCTGAATAATAAGATGAGATTCCAAAACTATTTCCTGAGATACCACTAAGTTGAGATTGTTGTTAATTGTTGTTGTCGGATTCTCATTACTGGATTAATATTGCACTATATAATCAACACATAAATATTGAAAATAAATTTACAATATGAAAAGCACTTTCTTGAAATTTGTATGAACTCACTTTCTTGAAATTTGTATGAACTTTACAAAACAAGTTGATCACAGTCACACCCAAGTTCTGAAAGCTATGCAACTGATGACATGTGTTTCTTACTTTATTTTTCCCAAATTCATATCCTTCCTCCTTTGTTTTTTTTATATAGACACCATATTTGGTCTGCACTATTGTCCTCACTGAAGTCTGTAATGTGAGAATCGAATCAGAACTAAATGAATTGTCTGAATGGTCCAGACAACCGGATCAAGCACATCCCGGTGATTGAAGAGGACTCAGCAGCAATGGTGGGGATGGTGTCCATTGGAGATGTGGTTCGTGCCGTGGTGGGAGAGCATAGGGATGAATTGAACCGATTGAATGCATACATCCAGGGCGGTTACTAGATGATGATGATGACAACGACGATAATTAACCTTGTTAGCTGGCTCGCTTGAACCCTTAAGTTTCCTTCTTTCTTTGGAACTGCTACTTTGATTTGTGTTGGTGCTTCAATGCTAGAAATATGGCATGTATGTGGTGCACTAAAGTGTGTGGGTGTGTGTGTTCTTTTATTGACTTATCGTGTGCGATTTGCTGAATATTTTCTGTATCGTGTAGAGCGGGCGATTAGTATGGAGATTAGTATGGCACGGGCTATTCAAAGCGGGGATTTTTTTAGCTGACAGCCCGATGCAAACATTTTGTTACACACACCCCATTGTCTTCATTGCCAAGCTTGTATACTGACACAAAGGTTCTTTTTACCTCAAATGTAATAGTTTGTCACTTTAGTCCGTTATAAGAAAAGCATATGTGGTACATATTGTACATTGAACCCATAACCTGCATTGGCGACAAGAAAGCACCTCCCACGATATTTTTGACATAAAGAAAGAAAAACTGCCTTAAACGTGATGACTTAATTCAAAATTTGTTACTCACATTTCATGAATAGAGTTTTGTTGGTCTAATCTACATGTGTGATCTAAAATAATTCTAAATATAACATTATGTTTCGTATGTGATCTCATCTCTTTAATCTGGGTTAATTTGTAACTATTTCAATCAAGTATATTAGTTATCATTGAAAAATAAACTTTAAGTTCATAAAATGAACATCGAAATCTAGAGTTTATATTTACGGCTTTAATTTTTATAAAAATAGAATGCTTATAATCATCATGTAAGGGTTATATTGGTTGATGCATTATTATTATTTGTATATTCATCATTTAAATATTTAAGCATTAACATTAATCTGATTTTTCTTTTTAATTTATATAAAATGGAGGAACATAATATGTATTTACTTCATATAATGATAAAGAGGTGAAAGGGGGGAATGATGAGGTGTCTGGAGAGCAAAAGAGAGGAGGCAATATGGGGGATAGAGAAGAATATGGGGGGACAATATGGCTCTGGACTGTACAAAAAACAGAGAGGAGGCGGGCTTCATGGAATAAGCCTGCCTAAGCTACGCTCTCGGGATGAAGAGATGTGTGGAAGGTGGAAGATGATGGTGGTCGGAAAGCTAGGTCACAACTTTTATTTTTTTGCTTTCATCATTGAACTATGCTATTTACTTTTGGTTTTTAATTGTTTTCTTCTATAAGACTGTGAATTTGGATATGGGTGATGGAATGATTGTGTTAATCGTCTTTGGCTCATTTGTTCTCATTAATGGATCAACGAGTTATATTGCTTCTGTCGATTTGATAAGAGAAAATTATCTCTCTTATAACTAAAAGAACATGATGTTCCCAAAGTATGACTTCACCAGTTTTTTCCCCAATCTAATGCTCCTACAACGTGAATGGTCGTACACGCGCCTCTATTATTTGTTTTAATTCCAATCATGTCCTCCACTAAGCAAATAAATAAGTACCATAACTGCCGATCAAATAGGATGGGCGTAAACAAACTTTTACTTCAAACTCCTAATAATTAGGAATAAATTGCAAATGAATTAATTGCATTATGGTAACTGCCATGTGCCAAGTGTAGAGTAATATGGGTGCCGAGTAAATTAGGAAAATACGCACATGATATATGCTCACATTATTATTATTATTATTATTATTATTATTATTATTATTATTATTATTATTATTATTATTATTATTATTATTATTATTATTATTATTATTATTATTATTATTATTATTATTATTATTATTATTATTATTATTATTATTATTATTTGTTATTATTAGTATTCTTATTGATATTGTTATTATTATTATTATTATTATTTACTTCAAAATAATAATAATAATAATAATAATAATAATAATTATTTTATTGTTATTGTTATTATTATTAAGTGTCCTCATTATATGTGTTATATTTTTATGTAGCAATTGGGCAGTAATTTATCTATAAAATTGTCCGCGTTTTATCTATTATTGATTTAGTTGGTATATTTATTGCCCTCACTTTTTTTCCTATTGATTGAATTTTATTATCACGGGCAATAACTTTTATTATGCCCAGTATATCATATTCTCCCTATCTTACTACACCTGTATGTATCAGGGCAATAAATTATTTAGTCCAGTGTCTTCATTATGTGTGTTATAATTTTACGTGTTCATTTACTGTCCTCCAATATATGGGCAGTGAAGCACACATGTCAATTTATTGTTCATTTTACATCTAATTTCTATTTTAGTAAAATATTCTTTGTGATTAATTTTTGTTAACGTATTCATTTAATTGTCAAATGTCCTATCACTTATGTATCAATGGGGCAGTAATTTATGTATGTCGTAATTTTCTCTAGTGTTGATTTAATCGGTACATTTACTGCCCTCACAAATTTTCATATTGGTTTAATTTTATTGCCACCCTATGGGCAATAACTTTCAATATGCATTGCCTTTACGTCTATTGCACTGCTGGCTCTAGTATAAATACGTTTATGGGAATAGTTCATTCAATTCTAAATCTTTTTGTAAAATAATTCAATATATGGAGTAAACTCCCGTTATATTTATACTGCAGTATAAACATGCAAAAATAAATATTATAAAATTATTTAAAAGATTAAAATATTAAATGTAAACCATGAATGTCCTTTTTGAAATATGGCTCCACGTCAGGAGCGATAATCACGGTTTCTACAACAATGCGTATTAATTGCCTGGATTCCATTTTGAAAAGATTCCTTTTTTATAAACCGTGTGTTTACAAGGAAGTTAGGGGTAATAGAGTAAAATTGCATCTTTATTAAATATCCATTTATATGCATAGGCACGTATTTAGTCATACGTTAGACATAACCGTATTTTAGTCATATATTGAGAAACTCTGTTTCTTTTAGTCATATAACCGTATTTTTCCCATTTGATAAACGCTGAGTTTGGTTTGAGGGACGGCGGTTTTCAGGAGTCTTTTTGTCAGTTTGTGTACTATCTGAATGATGTGTTATCAGTTTAAACCTATTTCTTCCAAAAATAAATAACGATATCTATTAAAATAGAAAATAGAAATATCAATTGATATCAGATATATTTTCATCCGATAGTCATACAATCCTTGTATTTCGATTTTTTTTGCAACACAATTACTTGCTGGCGATCCTAGGCGACTATCTCAAGGTTATTGGGTAAAACGGTCAACTCGAATGACCAAAAACGATAACACACTATAAAAAGACACATCTCTTCATCCCACATTGTAAATGTAAAGGAAAATTATATTTGTATACAAAATTTGTATAATAGTTATATACAGACAATTAACATATTTTTTAAAAAGAATTGCATGTGTACAAATGCAAATTATACACATCATCTAGTTGTTTGTATACACCTATAGTTCGCTTAAAAATCAATTACTTGCCTGTATAAATTTTGTTTATAAAGAGAATTGCTACCCTCGCTTTCTTTCGCCGTTCGAACAAACTCCTATTTGACGGTCTCCGTCAACCTAGTCATTTCTTTTCTCTTCAAATCCTTCTTCCCCCAATATTTTCTGCATTCATAATTCCACACTTCCTAACCTAAAACGAAGCTACTAGTTCAGCAGCTGCTGCGCACTGATCATGGCTCATGATATAATCTAGACGCTTTTAATGCTGAATATTCAAGTATTAAACTCCCTTCACTGCTTAATGTTGTAAATTGATTTTTTACTTTCCGGAAATCTTACCAGATGTGGAGGAAATCGTTAATTAGCTTGCTGAGACATCGCCCTCCGCCGGCATGGACTACCCTGACGGCGGAAAGGAGGTGGTTGAGCCCGTGCTCCGATAGGTGTTTCACTAACTATGGCAGCTGTTTCAGCGGGTTAAGATTGATCGGGTCGAGCTATTGTAGTTATGCGGCCAACGGAGGACAAGGGGAAGGTAAAGGAGAGGGAAAAGAGAACAGAGAGTTGGTGTCGGAGGCGGAGGTGAAGAGACTTATGAGGTTGGTGAACGTGAAGGCGTTGAAGGAGAAACTAGGGATGGAGGAGAAGGAGGTAATTGGTTACTCAGAGCTTTTGCAGGCGTGTGAGAGAACGTGCATTGTGAAGTCTCCCGAGGAGGCTGTTGTCTTTGCTCGGGTTCTGGATGAGGCAGGTGTTATTTGGATGTTTGGTGATAAAGTCCATCTTCGCCCGGATCTGGTAGTGTCTCTATCAATCTAGTTTATCTTCCATGTTGTATATTTACCGATATATAAGAGCAGGATTAAAAAAAAAAAAAGAATACTGGCATATAACAGAATCAATAATTTAGTGTCTTTTTGTTATCAACTCATCATCACTGCCACCTTATAGGCTTATCATCAATTAACATGTTTTTTTTATGAAAGCGTTGATATTTCTAATGATGTGGTGTTCAATTTGTCATACAGGGTATATTGATTTTCTGAAAGTACTTAACTTGGTGAATTTTCTGAAAAACGCATTTGGTAACATCTTTTCAACCAAATAAGAGTTTGTTTTGTGAGGATTATTTGGCTGAAAGGCTGAAATGGTGTACTCTGAAAGGAGAAGCTCTTGGTTAAATTCATTTCAGCCAAAGAAGTCTGTCTAAAACTCCTACTTTTCAGAGAAGAATAAACCACTTTGGCTACTTATAAGAAATGCACAGATCAGGGCCCTATTTGGTAGGCGGCATTATTTGTTTATGCTATCAAACAGAGCCTAAGTAAGTCAATGGCAACATATTCTTCTCATTATGCTTAAGCAGTATAATCAGATTACACATACCAGACAGGGCCTTATGACTTGCTCTGTGCATCTGATCTAGATATTCTTATATGTACTAAGATTTGAGTTCAACATTACTTAACTGAATAATCCTTCTCTGGTATGATGCAATTTTTTCTCTCTCTTGGCTGATCTGAACCTTTATGGTTTGATTTGATTTGATTAAAATTAAATAAAATTAAAATTAGTAAACAAATAAAAATAAAACAAAAGGTGAACAGAAGAACGTGTATTATCATATCAATATTATGTTAATATGGTGCAATGTAGCTATACACCTTGGGATCAATCCTGTTTCCTTTCAATTGATTACTTAGAAACGTTCTCCTGGTTTTGATGTAGCTATACACCTTGGGATCAATCCTGTTTCCTTTCAATCGATTACTTAGAAATGTTCTCCTGGTTTTGATGTAAAGCGTTTTATTTAAAAAACTTCAGGTAGTAGACCAGGTGAGGAAAGCAGTGCCGGTCGCACTTCTACCCGAAGATGATCCATGCAAGTGTGAGCTGAGGAAGCTTCTGCAAATGAAGGAGGGTATTGAAAAGCTTGCACACAAGCAGGTTCGCCGCATCTTATGGACTGGTATGTGGGCCACTATGATACAGATTGGGCTTTTCTTCCGACTCACATACTGGGAATTATCTTGGGACGTTATGGAGCCCATTGCTTTCTTCACCACAGCAACGGGGATAGTCATAGGTTATGCTTACTTCTTAGTCACATCAAGAGACCCGTCATACCAAGATGTATATAAGAGGCTCTTCCTTTCGAGGATGAAGAAGCTCATCAAGAAGGATACTTTTGACATCCATAGGTTAGTGGAGTTGCAAAAGAAATGCAAGTTACCTTTGGATGGGCCTGCTTCTGTTAAGAGGCAACGGATGGGAATAAAGTTGGAGCTGGAGGAACTTATACGGTAGATTAATATACGGAGTACATTATTGACCCAACGGCCTTTTCTTGTTTCACTTTATATTTTAAAAAATTAAGGCAGGTTTGGTTAACTAATAAAAAAGGTTTTTTAAAAAATTAGTAAAAGTTCGTGGAAAAGTTTGATACTCTGATATGACAAATTCAGTTAAATTTTACAAGTACCCCGTATCATTTATAAGTTAGAGATGTTGTAACTCATCCCAAAAAACAATACTTGGGTAGTTGGATTCTTGTTTGAGACAGGTAATGTGATTTGTGTGAGTTACATTGTTGTAAAAATAATTCAGAACTATAAATTGGGTATCGACTATGCAAAAATTGGAATATTGATCTATTTGCCATAATTAGGGATGGACTGTGACTGGCCTACCCAGCCTGCTACTGTGCAGGCCCAGCCCAGCACAGTTGACCAGGACCGGGGAGCCGACCCGGTTGAAGAAGCAGGCGGGCATTGGGCTTCTATGTTAATGGATCGGTCAGGCCCGGTCCGAGCATAATGGCCACCAATTAGTTTTTTTCCCATTGGGCTAGCTGCTAGGTGGGTGGGGCTGGACGGTTTGGGAATGGAGGGTTGGAATTACTTTAAAAAAAAATTAACAAAAAATAATTCAGGCAGGTTTGGTTAACTAATCGTAATTAACAAAAAATAATTAAGGCCCAACCCGGGCCCAGACCAGTACAAACTGGGGCCAGTACTGGGTCTGATCTCCTTAGTCCCGTAGCCCGCCCGGCCCTGGGCCTGAGGCCCAGTCCACTCCTAACCATAATGACAGGAAGCATTACATTTTCAGGCTTGGTGGTTTGGTTCTTTTTAGAGTTTGGAAATCACTCAAATGAACAGATATTATGATGATCAGACGTTAATATGTAATTTGGAAGCTTTGATTCAACACTTGGCGCCTTAAATGTTAGAATAATATCACATTATCACGCTCGAATAAAATCCAGACATTCTTGGCATCTCTGGACTGCGTCTTATATTCGAACTTGCACCCCAATCAGTGTTTTTATACAAAAATCCTCCATCACTACTCGGCTTCTGTAATTTAGGCCAGGACGGGAGGAATTGACATTCGAGCTTCTCATTACTCGACTAACTAATTACAGAGTATTGATTAGTAATTACAAACAACTCTTCCATCTACTACCCGGTGGCTACATCAGCTTGTACAACCCATTCTTTTTATATATCACGAACTCACTTTCGAGGCTGCACAGAAGATCTATGATGGATTTCTCCGTGGACCCATTGAAGTGCTCCATGAGGTTAGAGAGAGACACCTATGCATATATATTGCCGTTAGGGAAAGGTTGGGTGTTGAAAAATGATACTGGGGGAAACGAAAAATAGGAAAATGTTACTCTTGCATTCTTTTTTCCCACATTTTCTTTCATTCTAATTATCTGCTAGTATGTTTCAGGTTCCAACCAACCATTGGGGGTGGTTTCATTTTCACCATCTCCTTAACAAGGATTATAAAATGAGTCTAAGTTCCAACTTACCCCATCATGAAAATTCTTGAGCCAGCATAGTAAAGATTCCTCTGTTGCTCCCAGTGCCATTGATGTTATTGTCTCTAGCGCATGAATCTTTTGGCGTTTTGCAGAAATTGGTGAAAGCTCGTCCTCAACAACAGGCATGCTCTCAGTCTGGAGATTTAATGCTGATCCCATCTCCCCACACGAAGAACAATCAGCATTTGCATTATTAATTGTTTCTTCAACTTCTGAAAGCTCATTTGGTTCAACAGTTGTGGGATCAGGCTGCTGGTTAGATGAAAATACATCATCTGATACTCCCAACTCCTGCATCGTCAAATATGCCTGGATCTGAGGATAAGTCACCTAAACATTCAGAAAAATCAATTTGATTTATCATTAAATGGATCCGAGGATAATCTTTCGCCTGATCATTCAGAACAATCAAATTTAATAATCAATAAACGTGTCATTATAAACTCTAAAGCTATATAAACTGATGTATAGTCAGTTCCTATTATCAGTCAGTGTTCATCGCCCGAATTTTTTAGTTCCTTTTTAATTTCTATTTTATGAAATTTATGCACATTTAAGTATATTTATCTCCGGTTTTATTTTACCCTGCATATCATTTTATGCAAAGAAAAATTTATGCAGTAGTAAGTAATTATTCTAAATACTCTATTAAATTGGATTAATCATAATTTCTAACGGAACCAAAGACTCATTATTTTTTGGCTTGGGAATATGATGGAGTAAAGAAAATGGTTCACTAAAGTCTAAACTATCTCAAATTTTGACGCAATTTTCGCCATGGGTCATCCGAAAACAGACTCTGTTCTTTAGTACATGGATAAGGCTGTGTACATTTGACCCCCTACCCTACCATAGGTGGGAGTCTTTGTGGCACTGGGGTAATGTTGTTGTTTACTCTATTAAACACGAGTACTTCTCGCAAAATACAAGTATAAAAAGCTTTGATAGATTTTTCACTATTGCATTTCCTTATTGCATGAGTTGGTGAGTGAAGACAGATAAATAGCAAATGAGGGAGTATAAGAAAACAAATCTATCAACTTGGATAAATTGTGTACAACAACATCAACATCCAAGCCTTAGTCCCAAAAGATTTTGAGGTCGGCTAACATGAATCGATACATAATAACTTGGATAAATTGTGTAATTGAACAACATTGTACCTCTTCAGGCAGCTCAGTTTTAATAGGTTTCAACTTTTCTTTACCAACTTTCGAGACAACGGTTGCAATATTTGAGAATATCTCTCGGGTTAACCCACTTTCATAACAAAATCTGGTCCAATTAAAAGGATATCCCTCACGTGCAGCTTCAAGGATATAGCTACATATAGTTTGTTCTTTTACCGGGGCAGTTCTCCCTGGAAAATTCTAAACAGTAAATAGTACATCATAGTTAGACACTACAGGCGTTACAGACAACAAATCTGGACATAAAAATGAAAGGAAGGGTTGGTTAGAGGACTCAACAGCAATTTCCTGGGGGCTAAGGCCATCTTCTTGCCACATCTTCCATGCTTCAAACTTTGCTGGTGTTAAATTCTTATTTCTCGGTAACAACGTAACTATCTTATTAGTGGAAACAGAAGACTGAACATTTTGAGGCCATCGTTCTCTATCCAAACTAAGATCAAGCCCTTCAGACAGTTGCTTAACACTTTGAAGAAAATAATCACCATATGTTTTCATAAAATGCTGCAAAGGTATCAAGAGTTTAACCTCAGATTTATAAGTATCCATTAAAATGATGATCACGTGGCAAAACACATACACAATAGATCCATAAGTAACTAAGAACCATAACCATATAGCACTAAACATGATACTCACTGAAACATAAAAGTTGTCCTATTTCAAAAAAAATTGTGCGGTTTGGTCAAATAAAAACAATCTTCATGTAGTTTGCCAAACAAATTAGCGAACAAGCAGTATGAAAAACCTAGTTTCTTTATTGAAAGAGTTTTTAACAAGCAACTAGATTTATTGCTTATAACGGTTATACCTTGTAAGCAAAAGGTTGACACGGGAGCTATGAGAGTAGGTGAATTTTTTTAATCTACTTGTTGAATATAAAGGTAAACAAACTTGAGTAGAGTTTGATGTGGGTCATAATTTGAAAAGGCAATGGGAAGAGCTGACTCAAAAAAAAGGATGACACCCATCCCTGAGGGGCTTCCCAGAACTGACCGGACAATTATCTGGCAGGATGTAAGTTGAGCTTTGATCACACAAAAGAGAGTGGGGCTCCATCCCAAGTCATTGCTTGGAGTTGAACCTGGGATCTCTCCCTTGTGGCACTCTCTTCCTACCAGGTGAGCTACGCCCCCGGTATGGGAAGAGCTGACTCAATCAAGGGATAATGTTTACCTGGTTTACGCCATCTATGTTTGCTAGCCTGGCTTTTGTAGAAGGCCTTGTCAAACTTATCTTTTTCAGTGTTGCATCTCCACATATTGCATACCTACAAGTGAGAAGCAGTCAAGTGCCAAGACAAGCTAAATGAACTGGTACAAAAAAAGAGGGGGGTTGAATCTCTTCATTTAAAAATAAATATATACAATATTGCAATATACATAAATACAATATCGCAATATCATATACTCCCTCCGTCCCGAAAAGGTTCGCCAACTTTGACTTTCACGTGGATTAATAAAGTAAAAACTGTGTGGTTGAAATTTGTGCAAAGGAGAGAAAATTAACTTTAACCACATATTCCTTACTTTAAATGGAAATGACAAATCTTTTTGGGACATCCAAAAAAGGAAATTTGGCAAACCTTTTCGGGACGGAGGGAGTACTACCATTATATTTTTAAATTTCACCGAGGTAAAGCATTTTCATTTATGTGAAGTACAATGTTTGGAAATCATCAATTCTTGTTTGGAACACTTTTTAAAATAAGAGACAAAGTACTTAGTTGTAATGAAAATCAATTTATTTTGTTAAAACGGGAAATTTTTGGCAACATGAAAGTTCAAAGAAGAGTCTTTTGTGTGTGCAGGGTGGGGAACAAATTCATACGGTGCGGTTCCATTAGCTCGTGCAACCTTCTTCCTCTCTTCTAGGAGCATCTTATAGAGTTGTGTTTCTGCCTGAACCAAGAGAAATTTTCAAATGAAAAAAGAGAACCAGATATAACCAGAAATTTAGGAAAAGATTTATAAAAATAAAGGTTTAAATATATTTTTAGCCCCTGCAATATGACACTGGTCATTTTAGATCCCTACATCTTTTTGTTTTTCATCCAGGTAATATGCGCTAATTTCTTTCTAGTCCCTTTCAAACTTCGGAGCAATCTCCGTCCACAAAAAGAATGTCGGTTGCATAACTCAACTATTAACTTTATCGTTTTACAACTTTTAGAGACTGATATTGAAATTAAAATAAAGTGAAACTAACCATTCATGTTCTCAAGTAGATTTTAACAGCTCTATAAAATAAAAATTACATCTTTTTGGAATGGCGTGACAAAGAAAGATAGGAAATCTTTAAGTTATAGCTGTTTCGTTGTCAAAAAGAGGTTGTTATAACAGGGGAGGAACTAATAAGAAAAGAAGCATAAATTACATGGCAATGGATATCAGTTTTTGGATATTAATTATTCAGATATCTTAATGAACATTTTTGCAGACGAACAAATTGCAATCCACTCTTCTAGTGGTCTTTAAGTGGAAAGTATAATGATCATAATACATATGTGGTAACCTTGTTAATATGCTGCGAAAGTAAGAAAGACAATACCAGTTAAATGACAGACCTGAGAAAATGCATTGACTTCCGT